ATAAACAGGAGACTGTCAAGAATTCAATGTCAGCTTCAATGTCAGAACCCAATGTCAGTGCTGCTCTCTAATTCATGTCGAAGCTCAAGTTTTTTGTAATAAATACTGCACATCCTCTTTAAGATACCATCCCGGCAAAGACACACTTCTCTTATTTTGTGCTTATTTTAGCTATATTGTCAGCTAATAAGCCCTTAAGGTTGAAAATATCTTATGAAAAAGAGTGCTTAAAGCTGAGAGGGTTATTTGGGTCTTAAGGGAGCAGTGATGGGTCACAGGCTAGAGGGGGGCTACTAGTCGCTTGGCAGCTGAAGTGATACCACAGTGATGACACAGAGATGTCCTGTGACAAACCCCAAGGCTAGCCCATGCATGACACTAGTTCCATGACCTGAAGTTAAGATTCAGTGGAAAGCTTTTGGGAAAGGCTGTTAAGTATTTATAGTAATGGACAAGAGAAATTTCTCCTCCTGTATATCTTTATCCCTCTTCCTTCACAAAGGACAATGGAAGGGCATGAAGGTACTTACTCTGTGGTAGTTAAAGAGTGATTAAAATGTTGGGGAGGGGTAGCCGGTTAGCTCTGGTGATTGGAGCGCAGACTCATAACACCAAGTTTGCTGGTTCAGTCCCCACGTGGGCCAAGGAGCTGGGCCCTCCACAACTAGATTGAAGACAACTACTTGACTTGGAGCTGATGGATACTGGAAAAATGCCCTAAACAACTAGATTGAAACAACTACTTGACTTGGACCTGATGGGTCCTGGAAAAGCACACTATTCCCCAATTAAATCTCTTAAGAAAAAAAAAAATGTCGGGAAAAACCTGGCTTTTTTTTTTTTTTTTGCATTTTTTGATGTGTATGTAAAATCCAACGACTATTCATTAAGCACTTGGCCAGGTACTTACCAGGTACTGAAGGATACAAGGATATATAAGACACAGCCCCTATCCTTAAATATAGCACAGTCTATTATAAAGAGGGGATAGAAAACACACAAAAGTCTCCATTAAGTTGAAACAAATGACATAAAGATATTAAGGTCCAAAATAGAGTCAAGAATGGGAAACTTCATATTCAATTCTAACACTTGTTGGAATAAAATAAGAGCCATGAGTGAATACAATAAACACCACAGGGCCCAATGCTATTCTAATTACTTTAGATACATATTAATACTCGTAATTCTCAAAACAACTTTATGAGGTAGGTACTATTAGCATCTCTATTTTAGAGATAAAAAAGCAAATCAGGTCAGAATCAAGGTACAGAGAGGTTATGAAACTCAGGTAAGATCATGAGAGAAGTACGTAGTAGAACTGGCATATAAACCAAAGCTGTCTTGCTCCAGAGGCTGAGTTCTTCAAGTACTGTGTTATACACACTCTCTCCTTCAGAGGGAGAAAGAAAGGGTTGCAGAGATTCCAAGTTGGAAGTATGCATGCATTCTCTTGGGTAAACTGGGAAAAGCTTTGTGGATAAAATGATATTTAAAATATGCCTTACAGACAAAATCCATGAAGAATTTTTCCTGACTGGGTGTCAAGAATAGGGAATTTTTGGTAAAGGAGTCATTATGAATGGATATAACGAAGCAAGAATGCAGAGAATATAAACATGGGTCTCCATAGCACACAAAAGAGATAAGGCTAGAAAAGCACATAGGATCCCTGTTGTGGACTTTCTGGAATGCCAGGGAAATGAGTTTATTCATAATTTAGAAAACACTGGGAAGCTACTGAAGTTGATCAGGCAGAAGAATCACTGGATCAGAGGTAGGCGGGAAGAATGAACGTGGAAACAGAGTAGAATGGCTTGGAAGAGGGAAAAATAGGAGGTAGGGAATTAAAATTAGGAAGCTAGGAAAACAGTTCAGCTAATAACGTACAACAGGGACCTGAACAAGCAAGATGACTGTTACAATATTAAATTTTTTGTCTCATAAAAATGTTTTTTATTGAAAAGTAGCTCACAGTTGTGAAAGAAGGTGGTTGTGAACTTACAAAAATTTAAGCACTTCAGTTGCTGTGCCTATCTAATATGATCTTTTTTGGAATCCTTTCAAAACTTAACTGACCTCAGTCATTGCTGTTTATGTTAGAATGTCTGTTTTCATAAAATCTTGCACTAATTTATGCTCCAAATGCCAGTCATTGAAACATCAATATTTTTCTCCAGCTGGACATTCATTTTATTTTGAGGTGGAAATGCCGTTGATCACAACATTTATACTTTCATAGTGATACACAATAAATTCAGTGAAAGGGAATGACTTTAAAAAATGACAGAAAAAAATCCCCCTCAGAAAGATGTGCAGTCATCTAAAACTTTGTCTCTATATATGTTTAATAAGTCATATAGTTAGCCCAAATGATCATCAAATCCTCTGCCAATAATCAACTATGACAGAGAAATAAAATTATTGAGAAATAAATAAGTAAAATGACAGAAAAATAAAATAAAAACACAAAGAACACGGAACCCCAGCACCCTGAGGTGGCTGCCTTCTTCAGGAATACTAAAAATGTTTGCTTTTCTCTAGAAGATTCTAACCATCCTTATCACTCTCCTCAGCAACAAAAAGCAGCTTTCTTTGTGATAAGTTTGTACCGTTACTTCTTCTTTTTTAAAATCTTTATTAAATTTAGTGGGGTCACAATGTTAGTTAAATTATATAGGTTTCAGGTGTACAATTCTGTAATACACCATCTATATATCACATTTTGTGCTCACCACCCAGAGTCAGTTCTCCTTCCATCACCAGACACTTGACTCTCTCTACCCTCTTCTATTAGCCCTGTCCACCCCTTACCCTCGAGAAACCACTAAACTGTGTCTGTGTCTACGATTCTTTGTTTGTCTTGCTTGTTTGTTGCTTTCAGTTTAATATCCCACATATGAGTGAAGTCATATGGTTCTTGACTTTTTCTGTCTGACTTATTTTGCTTAGCATGATATCTCAAGATCGATCCATGTTGTCCCAAATGGTACTATTTCATCTTTAAAGTGTAACAAAGATCTCTCTATCTCTTTAAACTGCAAACTCCCTTAAGATCCTTATTCTGAATGTGTGTTTTTGCTTATATTTATGCTTTTGCATAGGTGAAGTATTCTGCTACCCATGTGTGTGGGCTGAAAAGTCCTGATAGGACTTTTAAAAATAGCTCTTTCTGTCCAGAAAATATTTCCTAAGAATGTACTCTGTGATACAGTGGCCATGTACACAGTGACACAGTGAGGTCATGTAAGCACTAGGGTCTGTTGCATCCCAATGAAGTGCTCAAATGATAAAGGCAGCCATGTGTCTAAGCCTGTGCACTGATACTGAAATATCGACTGACATGGGTTACCTTAGCCAATCAGTCCTGAGACAGAGGGCGGTAACATTTGATAAGGATAGGATTCTTCCTTGTGTGGGGAGGTCAGGTCAGTGTCTGTGTGATATACCATGGATGAAGGATAATTAGCTAGAATTTGTGTTTATCACAAAGACAGAAAATTAACATATGGCAAATGAGTGGCAGGAATTTCTTCAACACATCCGCCATACCCATAGCTTGTGGTTCAACAAGGCTCAATGCTTAGGCTCCTCAGACCCCATGCCTTGACAAAGGAAATGGCTTGGGGAAATCATACTTCCACTTTGGGGGAAACTGAAGGGCAGTGTATTTATTATGTGTGTGTGTTGGGAGAGTTCCAATGTTTTAGCATTAGTAAAACATTTTCATTGATTCCTTCTCATTTCCTTACAGAAAGTAACAATAAGTCACATTGTCTGCTGAGTGAAGAATTTGGAATACACTAGCTGGGATAACCCAAACATAACCAAATAGCCCCTCTTTTCAACCCCTCACACTAATTAGGAAGCACATTCATTTGTTAGATGCCCTAAAACAGGAGGGCTGTAAAGAGTTTGTGGTCTGGCACGACAGACAAGTGGATGACATTAGTTAAAAAACAGCACCAGCCATGCCTTGGAGTCACATCCAAGGAAATGATGTTCACATCTCATACTAGAAATTTACTCTGTAATTTAGTCATAAAAATCCAGTTATGGTTTTATGACACCAGAATTACTGATGAAACAGCAATGGGTTAAACTCAGTTAGGCACAATGTTTTCCCTTCCTTTATTGTATAATGTGAACTCCAGCATATACTTCAACTGATGAAAAAAATCCATCCCTAGAATTTAATTAAAGGTACCTACTAGGTGATCAGGACTTTTTAGGTCATGTGAGGACTGCAGAAACAGCATAAAATGTGGGCTTTGCCTTAAAGTTCAACATAATTCATTAATTTGTGCAATCTCACCCAACTCATTGATTTCTGTGCATGCTACTAATATATACACTAAAATGTCGTGAGGTTTTAAATGTTGCCATGGAGCAACAAAGTTCCACGGAAGCAGAGAGGCAGGACAAGTCTTCAGGCCTAAAGGATTTGGAGACACTTCCCCACAGAGCTGATGTTTGAGTTCAGTCTTGGGGAGGAAGAGGAATTTGTCAGAGGACAAGAAAGGGATGTGCAAAGCCATTTTAAGGAAAAGAGATAGCTCGCATGAAGGCAGACTTCTAGAGCATAAGGTTTTTTGGTTGACGAGACAAGTTTAACTGTCAATGTGATTGTTAAGTAAAGAAATACCTCAAAATAATAATGATGATACAATACAGGATTTGTAAAAGGAGGCAGGTTCCTGAATTTAATAAACTAACTATTTATTGGCCCACAATAAATCATTTCATCTTTTTTCTCCTTCTCATTAACTTGGCCTTACTTAACCTCTAAGGATAAGCAAATAAGAGAAGTAAAGTAGTAGTTTTGCTGAGAAGTTGAAAAAAAAATTCTGAAAAAAAATCTTTGTGTTTGCCTGTGCAATTTCAATCAGTCATTCATCCAGTTACTGTGGCCCAAATAAAATGGAGAAAGGACAGTAGCTTGAATTATAGTAAAGCATGGATAGTATCACTGAAGGCAGAAAATATGCTAAAATTCTTACTTGTCCCTAGGTCTGGATTAACTGTTTGTAGATCCTGGGATGCTCTGCCAAGGATAGCTGGTGTGTCTGGAACAGAAAGAGAAAAAAACAAACAAACCCATGAGTCATTCTGTAAAAATGGTCTGATGTGACTCTGTTACAACCTCACTTTTAGATGACAAAAGGTAACTTGGTCCAACCTCACAACAATTCCCTATCTCTTTTTCTTTCTTTCTTTTTAAAATTAAAATTGAACTTACCCTCTAAAAAAGAACTCAGAAATATCAGAGCAAATGGAAACCTTCTGGTCTGAGTCACCTCTGGTCTCATGCCTAGACACAGTCAGGAACAACGAAAAAATGTCTTCCTATCTCATTTGAGTCCAAACTTGAGTCTTGCTTGTGAAAATAAAGAAGAACATAAATTCTTTCTTTAAATAAGTTCCTTCAAAAAACTTTATTCTTAGAAATAAACATGTGAGCAATCCTGGGAGTAGGGAAGGAATGGGGGGAAGTGAAAAGTTGGACAAGAGAGACACAGAACTTTATGATGTGAGATGGGCAATGAGTCATCTATTATAAAAGTTGTAATTTTATTGATACTAGGATTAGGTTGCACTAAAAACAGGAGAAATGGAAAACGATCAGTGTAGTTGTCACTGAACTCTTGAATTGGGTTGCTGTGCAAGCATCTGAGTTCCAAAAGTATGCCACTCTTATCTGGGCTTGGTGGGGAAGGGGGTTTCTCCAGGATTTCCCACATCAGATCATATGATCTAAGGGTTATTCTTGGAAAGACAACGTGGTCCAGGCCCACAACAACACTAAGCATTACCTCACAGCCATGAAACGACTGCTGCTTTTGGTCCTCAATAGAAACTCACGGTCATAATACCAAGAAATCGTTCTCTAATATTTGAAGAAGAGAAAATGAAGATGCATGGGCAGTGCCATCTCCCTGAATTTCAGAGTTGGAAGAATCCTGTCCACTTGCCCTGATCCACCCCCCCACCCCCCACCGCAGAAACAAAGCAAATGACCACATTAATCCAACTTCTGCCCAAGTCCAACTTTCTTCCCCAGAAATAATCACTGCTATTTGTTTGATGGGTGTCCTTCAAACCTTTTTTCTTTGTTTACATACGTACATACATTATATGTATGTGTACATAAACAAAGATATATTTTTCTACAGATTGCTATTTTCATTTAATAATTTGTCTTAAAGGCCTTTCCATAGCAAGGTCTATTTCATTCTTTGCTGCATGGTATGAATATATGTATAGAGTGTGAGAATTGATTCCCTGGAAACACAGCAGCCTCAACTCCTTCAATCTGTCAATGACAATAAATAAAAGTCACTGTTCACTGGAGAGCAGCTTGTGAGTCACTATGTAAAAAAAAAAAAAATCGACATAACCTTCATCGCCAGCCATTTTATTTCTAAGTGTCTTTTCTAGACATATATTTGCAAATCATTGTAAAGACACATTCAAGGATATTCAATGCCTCGATCCACGTTTCACTATGCTTTTTTACCACCCCTCCCACCTAGCTACATGGTAGGAAGCAGCCACGGTCTGAAGTTCATAATACAGGGCCTAACAGATGAAGTTAATATCGTCTTGTTAAACACTACAGAATTCTAACCCTTGCAAGTTGTTTTCAGTCTGGGCACATCAGTGAGGGTATTTTTTTCCCAAGTAAAGTTAAGCTTTGTGGGCTTTGGTGGATTAGTATTTTAAACTCTATTAGTTCTGAAAGTGTTTCTTTTTATTCTCTCTCTAAAATTTACTATTAGCTTCATCTGTAGAAGCTCATTTAGTCCCAAATGCAATAACAAATTATGACAAAAAGCTAATAAACTACACATTGATTTTAATGTGAAAGGAAAATTGTATTTTATGACAATCTCTTCAAGTCTACTCACTGCCTTGATATCCTGTCTTCAGTATTCCCATTATCTAGAACCTGTCACCCATCCCAATTCCTTACTAAAACCAGAGAACATTGTTTTCTTACCCCTTGCCCTAAGTTGGACACTAAAACATAAAATATTTTTGGTCAAGGTTTGGCACGTTTCTATAACTTCCAACCGTGAATGGCCTGTATTACTGACAACTATGTATGCGTTGAGAAAGTTTCGATAGCTCTCCAAGGAAGAGGAAAATTAAGCCAATCATGGCATGGCACACAATCAACTTATGTTATTTTGGTCAAAATTATCTAGCAAGTTTGTCTCGATTTTCAGCTTGAAACTGAGAAAACGAATGGACATCAGTTTCCAGGCTCAGAGCAGCAGTACGGTTGACAAATTTCTCCAGAATGATGACTGAAATGGAATGTGGGGGTCAGTTATGAGGCCCCTAGGGAGTGCACAGAGCCAAACCCGAGACCTGGAAACGCTTGGGGAGCGCTGGCCGCTCTTTGCTGCTCACAGATCGGGGTTTTGCTTTCCTTGCAGACAGACGTCTGGTGCTTTCCTGTTTCTGGTGTCAATGTTTGGTAACACTTTCATGAAGCAAAAATTCTCACTCAGCTGACACCCTCCACAATATGCGATGAATCAAGACATAAAAGGAGCAAATGACATCTTGGGGAAGAACCACAGATTCACGCCAGCACTGAGGGTGCTGGTTACAAAAGTAAAGCATAAGAAACAAAATGGTGCCACCTTAGCAAATGGTGGTGTCACGCTCAGTTGTCAATTTTAATTAGTGTCAGCACTGACCTTAATCGTCAGGAAATGCTGAGCAGTGAGGGGAAAACACATAAAGGGTGACAATAAGCAAAGAACCACTATTCTAATATATTTATAGAGGGGGTTTGTAAATGCTGGCGTTATGTTAATAAAATGAGTTAGCCACAGCCCCTGGCCTGAGTGAGCCCACAATTTCTGGGTAGGGATCTATAAGGGAAAAAGTGGCCCAGCGAGGGAGTGGCCCTGTACAAGTCTGGACAAGCTTCCTGGGGAAGGTGATTCCTTGAGATGGGTGCTCAACTTGAGATAAATAGGCAATGAAGAGGAAGAGAAAGGGAAGTTGGTGCCAAGGGAACCGCTGAACAAAGTAAGACAGCCTGGGTATGTACAGAGCTTTTATCTGTCGCGAGTGGGAGGACAGCTGATCCTGGATGTGTTGAGTGGAGAAGTCAAGGGCACACTGGGGATGGTCTTTCCAAAGAACTTAATTTTCACCCTGTGAACACAAGAACAACTGGTTTGCAGTGCCCTGAGGGCTCCTCATGTTGGACTTGCCCAAGAAAAGGGATCCGAGGCTGGAATTAACTGCACTCTAACTTTCTCCAATCATATACTCAGCTTCCCAACTATGGCACATAGCTGGACCTTGGTTTCTCTGCCTGTAAAATGGGGACAGTGACAGTATCTGCATGTAACATTTAAATGAGTTAGCACATGCATGATACTAAATTTACAATATAATCAGTGCTTAGTAAATGTTAGAAGCTCTTATAATTGTTATTATTACTGTCACTGTTATTACTGCTAGCCTCTTTTCCCACAGAGAACCTGACAGTATTTTTACACCAGACTTTGTGCACTCAGGGCTTTGCACATATGAGGATGGGATACTGTCCTAAACCCAGCACAACCCCCACTATTAGGCCCACCCGTGCAGGCTCCATGTAGGCAGTGGGACTCCAGGGAAGTGATACCTCTCATATATATATAACAGGGTGCTTCACCAGAAAGCAAGCAAGTGACCCAGACCGCTCCCCTATGCTCCAGAAAATCACATGGAACTGCAGGCCCAGGAAAATGCACCACGTTCCTCATTACCAGAAAAAGGAACCCAATATCCACACAAAACTTCTTGCAGAAGAAAACAGAATTGTAAGGATGAAAACTTTTCAGCTGATAACAATACTACTGCACATAGAAAAACAATTGCAATGCAAAGGGAAACTGTCACGTAGCTTTACCACATGGAGTAAATATAATCAAACAAAGGGGTAGGGGATGGAGATCTACTTGGGTCAGAGAGTTGGCCTCGGACTAAAGGCAGTCAATTCCAGTGCCTGAAAGTCAGTGAGTCCTCTATGACATCAGTAAGGGAGCTAGAGTGGGAGGACCAGTGTTCTGGCAAGTATAAGTACTGCAACTGACCAGTTGTGCAACAATGGCATTTAGGACCAGCCCCGAACGGATGATGCAAACACGATTACCTGCACAAGGTACTGCATGTGGCAATGACTTTCCATAAGGACAGGGCCTCGCATGGCATCTGCCATAAAATAAGCACTGGTTGATGTCAGCTATTATCGCTATTAGCCTACTGTCATGATAATGATGGTTATGATCATGACTGTCATGATATCTCTATTTCAAGACTTCCTCTGATTGTGATCATCGTTTTGCTGCATACACATATATCTAATCATTACGTTATACACATAAACTCAGACAATGTTTTATGTCTGTTTTATCTCAATAAAGCTGGGGGAAAAATACAAAGACTTCTTCTAAGCGGTTTTCCTTTCTCCTCAGGCAGGTTATCTGTCCTCCACCCAGCAGCCTCAGGATTGCTCCGCCAGCCCCTGCCATCACTGGCCTGCACCCTGGCACACATAGTGAGTTCTGTGGGGTGGGCGCTGCTGCTTTTAGCTTTGTAATGTCTGTCAGGTGCACAGGGCACCTAGTGGAATAATAGAGTTTGCGAAAAAAAATGAGGCAGATGAAGATGAATTTCAAATGCTGTAAACGTTGGCGTTGGGGTTAAAAGGGAATCAAATAAAAATAGTTTCTTCTCAGCAATTTGTGTCTCTCCTTGGCTATTGCAAGTTTGCTTGACTATGTTTCCTATCTTTTTGAAGTCTGTTTATCTTTGACCGTATTCCAGAAACGTTCCCTGCTCGGATTTCAACCTCTAAAGCTCCTTCCAGGTCCAACTTTGTCTTCCTGTCCTTCCTTTCTGTTAAACTATGATTACCATCCCTGAAGAGTATTCAGTTTAAAGCACTTATCTGCCTCCAACCTTCCTCTGCAATAAGGCTTGGGTTCAAGCTCGCTGTCTGGTCACCTTAATGCCATGGTCTGCACCATCCTATTGCCTTTGAAGGGGCTGGTTG